AGGTCATCTCAGAAAAAAAGCACTTAAATTATGAAATACTTTTCATTTAGTGTCCTGTTGATCTGCATATACTCTTTTTTAATCTGAAGTACTTCACTAAAGCTCCTTAGAGGGGGAAAAATCTACATCTATAATACCAGCTTTCAGAGGCATGGAGGAGTAGATGATTGCTGATTCAGACGAGACAAAGCAGCATGTCCTGAACAAAGGGAAAGAGCTCTGTCATAGGTTTCAGAGTGTGAAGCTCTATTTCCTGTTTTGCTGCATGGGATATGGTTCTCCCAACGCATATGTTCCACTCCACTCACCCAACTATTGTCTTCTTCATTTGAAATATGACCCCTTTGTGACAATACATTGGGTGTATGTGATTCCGAGGAGAAATTGGATTCTGTTAGCAAAGTCTTTTTCCTCTTCAAAAGTGAAAAAGGAGAAGGTAGCTGATATTAAAAGTATGAGGAAAACTGCTATTTTGAAGAAGTACATAGTTAGAGAAGTTGGGGTGAATGAAGTGCTTGCCACTGCATGGCCTCCAGAGAGCCAGAAGAGTCTAAGGCTGCTGCTCAAATTTGAACTTGAAGTCTACCTGGTTGTCATTCTTTGATTCTTTTAGGTATGAGAGGCTGAAATTTGCTATACCCTTGAAAATCAGCCACTCAAAGGATTCACCTGAACCAAAAGCAGTGAAAACAGAAGCCATTCAGGCTCCCCCCACGTATTTGTCAATAATCCTCAATCATGACCTGTAATAGTCTTGTATCCCAGTCCTGTGGTGTTTGCGTAAACAGTGTCGATGATATGTAAGTTCTGTGCTGGTTTTCATGTCATGTGGATAAATAAGTTTTGAGACAACCAAATACTTTCCATCTGTGTCTTTGTCAAGACATATGAAACCTTAAAACTGCAGCATGTTACTGTGTCACTGCTTACCACACCACAGTGTTCTGAAGCATTTCTCCTACCCATAAATCAGTGGCCCCCGTTCTCTTTGTCTGTCATGCATAGGCTTGGAAATAACTCTTCCTAGGAAGAGGCTGCTCCTAAGAAAACTGAAGTAAATCCAAGTTGTTGAAGAACTTTAGAGGGCAAGGACTGTGTTGTTGTTCAGAGCTGTAAGTGACCAGCAAAGTAAAGAGATACGTGTCTATGTTGGGTTAGTCCTGTTGCAGTAGGCCTTTGGATGCATTGGCAGCAAGTACCTAATTCTTTGGTCTTCCATTTGACTATGATCCAGCTAATTTTCCAGATGTATTTACTCATGTGTTTGACAATAGCCAAGAGAACTGGTGTCCTACAGTTTTTTAGGTCTTACAGTCAGATCTGGTTTTTGGTATTTCTTGCAGGTGCCTTGGGCTGATGGGTTTGATTTCCATCACTGTTATCTCAGTTTGGTCTAGAAGAAAATGTTTCTTCCACTTCAAAGTGGGTGACTTTATAGCAAATCTCAAAGCGTCTTAGAAATAAGTCCAGTAACATTTAAGGGCTTTCTAGAAAGAGTTACCAAATTAGTACCAGTCAGTAGATGTAATAGTTTTCAAAGCAATTAGCATAACTGTATGTTTTCTTATAAAGGCATTAAGCATTCAGATTGCATATCGTAAAATTAAGATGAACTGAGGCTGTGTTTGTCAGATAATATGTTTTAAGAAGCTATCAAGCGTTCAAGGTGCATCATCAAGCTTTCTGCATTCAAAAAAAACCCCAGAAGTTTTTTTGTAGGAAGGCAGTTATTCTGCAAGGCTATAGTAAGATCTGCTAGGCACTAGGCACGTAAAATAAAATAGAGGTGTAGATTTGTAGCTGATAAGCTTTTCTTAGTTTAATACAACCAACTTGAAAAAATGTCTGCATTAAAACACAGGTACAGTGTCTGTTCAACAGTGCTCCAGTTCAGATTGACACGTCAGGCTGTATATGACTCCCAGCCAAACATCTTGTTAAATACTTGCAGGATTTCCCATATTGGATCTTACTTTAATCAAATAATTCAAACGTTTCATTTGTAAGTACAATAGAAGGGCAGGGCTTGTGTTTACAAAGTATTCAGTATGGAAATCCTGTATTAATTGAGGTACATTTACTTCACTTAGGACAGTGTCCATGTAGAAACTCTTTAAATAAAAGGCCTTTTGCTGTTGCCTCTTCCGGACAGGCAATCACATGCAGAACTAGCCCGTCACGTACAGGAGATCATGAGGAAATAGTTTGAGAGATGTGTGCTGTAGACAGCAGAGGTGTTCCTAGCTAAAGAAGACAAGTTTATGGATGCTTTTCTCACAGTGGATGCAAAATAATATATAAAAAGTAGTTTTATCCATATGTAAACTACTAAATAAAGAGGCTTTGTCTTTCTCAATCTGTTTCCAGAATAATTAGTACAGGCAATGCCAGATGTTGGGGTTTTTTTGTAATATTGTGGATTCATATAAGCTGTGCTCTAAATTATTATCTTTCTAAGGCAGCAACTATAGACCTATATTTTTTCTGTGAAAAAATACACTGTGCTTCCACCAAGCCTGGTGCAGGATCTGGAGTTTTTATTATTAACAGTCGAGCATTTAGAGTTTCACATAAAGGGCATATAAAAAGGAAAAATAATATTATTACTCAGTGATAGTATTATTAGTAATAGGTGACTAGAATTGCACCCTTCTGAGTTCCTTATTTTGCTGTGCCCAAAAATGCCAGAATCAAAATGAGCCACATGCAGAAGAATTAAACAGAGAATCAGCATTTCTCTCCACAGTATGTTAGAAATTACATGTTGCTTCTCTATTCTACTCTTTATTTTTCTTATAGTTCTGCTATTGTTGAAAAGGTAATTTTGCCAGTGTATTAAATACCTGGCAAAAAAGGTGGTTTAGGACATTTTTAGGTAAATGTAGGTCAACACAAAGGAATCATACAGTTGGAAATATTTTCCAATGTTTATGTTCAGATGTTCAGACCTGTCTGGCTCCTCTCTATTTGCATGTGTTGGGGTTATAGGCAGTCCAGCTACATTCCACGCTGAGTTACATAAATATATTACAGATTATTAACCTCCAGCCAAATACCAGCAAATTTCACTTTCCAGGAAACTTAGTGACTTTTCACAAAACTCATTTATTGTGAACATCTTCTGTGTACACTCCATTAAGGGAATTATAAAAATAGCAGTATTTGTCTTTTAAAGAAATGTCCCAAGACATTTGCTGTTACAGTAATTATATTACAATAATAATTTATATTTGTTAGTATTATTATTGCAGATCAGTCTTCTAGTAGAGGTAGGGTGACAGTCTCTCCATGCTCTTTAACTCCAGTTCTCAACTGTTACTCACTGAAGAGCTTCTTTAAGTTAAAAGGAATGTGCTTTCCTCTATTTTCAAAGCATGGTGGCTAGTAAACAATTTTTAAGTGTCTGACCAAACATCATGTAGGAAATGCTTTTAAAGTGGGACCACAGCCTTAACATGTTAAATCAATATAATCTCAAGTGAAGCAAACTGCTGTCATAAACCTGGATTATGGTCTTCATGGATAGTTGTGCTAATTCTTGTCTTCCTTTCTCTTGAGAAATATTTTGAGAGTTAAGGTGAGACATAAAAACTCAGAACAAAGTGTTTTCCTAGTCTGTCTGTGAGATGTCCTGTTTGAAAAGCAGTCACCCCCAAGGCTTTGTGTGGGATCTGATGTCTGCAGATCCTGCATGTAAAGTCTTTAGTCCTAGGACAAAGAACAAGAATATTACTTGATATTGTTATCAGAAATTTTGCACAAAGGAAGGAAGCAGTTTTTCTAAATAAGAACTGAAAGATACATGTAATAAAACAATGTAACTGCTATGATGTTGACCAAAGTCAGCAGTAGTATCAACAGTACCTTGGCTTGTTACCCATTATGGGTTCTTCAGTTTAACCGTATAGCCTTTTTTCTCAGTAACTGTATTCATACATTTTAAAAATCTATAACTAGCAATTGATTTTCTGTCTTGCTTCAGAGAGGAAGGCAATTTATCTGTATAATTTCAGCCTAAATTAATAAACATATTAGTAAAGTATGAGAGGGGGGAACAAGCATCTTCCCATCTGTAAGATGGTTTCCTATAGCGGTTTTGTAGAAGTGGGACTTGAGGAAGGATGGGGAGAGTCACTGGTAGGAGTACAGGTGTGAAGCACAGAAGGATGGGCAGACATTTGTGAAAAAGACAAAGCAGAGGTTAAAGCTGGTACAGTAGATTCATTGGAAGAGATGAGAGAGATCCTTATTAAGAAGAGAAAAAAAATAGAAAATAGAGTAATCAGATAGGAATGTGATATTATTAAGAGATTTGCAAATTAGTTTGAATTTGATGTTGTGCAACAAGGTGAAATTATAAAGAAATTTCAGTAAAAGTATAGCAGAAAGTCATGAGAGAAGAAAGCTTTTTTAGTAGTGGCATCTTGTGCACAAAGCTTTTTTCCAGACTGTATCCTGACTCTGATGGTATTTCTTGCATCCAGGAACTTAGAAGAGTAATCAGCAAAATATTCTGTGTCTGCCAAAGGAGATTTAATTATAAAGCTGTGTAATGGTGAACACAGGAGTTATGTGGGAGGACACTGAATATTTATGCAAATGCTCTGTATATTTTTTCTCAAAAATGTTTCTTGCAATTATTTTTTTAAATGACTGTAAGTGCTGCAGCATATGAATAAATATCAAGTTATTTTCCATATTAATTCTAGTTCTGCTGTCAAAAAAATACTCTCTTTTAATGTACTTATTTTACTGTGAACAGCTGATGAATTCTTAACACTTAATCCCATTTCAGAATCCACACATGAAAGAGAGATATTATTGATGTATCAGTAGTTATCTGATGAATCAAGAGCTCAAATATTGCTCTGTGTTTGAATGGCTCTTTTTTCCATTCTATATACTGTAAGAAATTTAAATAGGCATGTATGAGCTGCAAGGTATATATGTCTGTACTGGTTCCTGTATACTTTCCTCATCTTTTTTTTTCCTCCTCTCAGGTTGTTTGATGTGTGCACTGTGTCACGAACAGACAGAGAGACCAAGTTAACATTAGTATTTGAACATGTGGATCAAGACTTGACTACTTACTTGGATAAAGTTCCAGAGCCTGGAGTGCCTACTGAAACTATAAAGGTATTTAAGAAGAAAGATTTTGGATATTATTTCAGAAAATATTAGCTAGGAAGGGCAAAGAGATGAATCACAAAGACAAACTGCATTTTGATTCCATAGGATTTTCTTATATTGAAACTGAGTCATGCCCAGCTTGAGGTGTGAATTGCAGCATTAAGATCTGTATTCACCAGGAGGTGTAATCTTAATATTTTTGGGGAAATGTTGCACTTGTTTGGATATTTTTTCCTCTCTTAGATTTATAAATCCCCTGAATTTCTACTCTTTTACCAAACAGAGCATTCCAAGTAATTAAGAATGACCTTTGCTTGCACTTGTAGGCAGGTGATTCCATTATTATTTAGTCCAAGACTGCTTGAACCTTTCCTCAGTGTCTGGTAGAGTGCTGGATACTGTTAGAATGGATAAAACAAATCTTGTGTTACTATCCCCTTCCCTTTGCCTTTTGTTTCCCCAAGAGACTCCTTTCATTCCATGTCACACTTGCCAGGAGGGTTTCTATACATTCCAAGAGCAGGAAACATTCACCGTGGGCCTGTGGTGAGCTCTGCAGAGGATGAGCTCAAGGAAGGGGGTAGCAATAGCCATGACCAGTTGTTGCAGAAGCTGGGAGGGCTCTCAGTATCTGGAAGGATGATCATGAAGTTTTCCCGTTGTGTTATCTCATCTTCTGCATCTGTAAGGGGGGATTTCTTCCCAGGGTGGAACATGCTTCCAGTACTGGTATATGTACACCAACTTCTCTCCTGGGAATTTCAGAGCAAAGTGCTACATTGAGGATAATAGCTTGGAATGTTTGACAAAATGTGTACACCTGGGAAGAGAAGCACATAGGCTGATGTTCCTACATTTTTACTCTGTTTAATATTTCTTTTGCTTTTTTATTTTTTCATGAGTAAAAATAATTTATGCTTTCAGAGACAGATTATCTTGCATTTGTATAAGTACCTTCCAGAAATATGTTATGGCATCTTAGTCTGGAAAAAGTCCTCAAGGAGAAAAAGAAAACATGAAGCCTTTCTAAAATATAGTTGTTTTAATATTTTTTTTTCATTAACAGCTTCAAACTAGGACGTTTGATCTTTCAGTATAAAAATAGACATAAATCTGATAAAGATCTTTTTGCTTGTATTAAAGTCTGAAATGTAAAACATCAGTCAGGTCCAGTAATGAGGCTTTTAAAGCAACTTTAATAGATAATATAGCATTCACAATTTTTTTCCAGCTTTGATTCAATCCAAGCAGGAGGATGGAATGTACCTTTTGCATTTGAAGGGCTCTTTTATGATAATGCTTTTAGGGTTCTAATTCCTTCTAGGGCTTTGATGCTACCTAAAGAATCATATTTCAATGTAACTAACATTATGAGAATAACATACAAGGTGACTGGCATATTGTCTCAATACATTAAAATGGCTGGGAACTGAATGACCAGGCCTCCAAAATCTTAGCTTGAAATATCTTTTGAGCTTTTTCGTTTAAAAGGAAATAGAAGATAGGAGCATTGGACTAAAACTTTTGTGATTTTTCTAAAAGCTTCTTCTAAATTTGCACTAGTAAATTCTAATACATATGTGTGAACATGCATTTCATAGAGGTTACATGCTGTTGAAGGAGCTGCTCTGCATGTGTGGTTTACTAGTTCAACCCAGTAGATACATGTACAATCAGTACAATAAAAGAAAATAAGTTAGCCACACAGAAACAAGAAGGAGCAATTCTGGTCTTTTATTTATAGTGCAAGTTCCACTGTGGCTGGTGAAATTAGTGAATGTAAAATTCAGCTTGTGGTACAGCTCTTTTTAAATGGGTGAGGGAAAATGTAAAATTGCTGTTTATTCAGTCATCACTGTTGATTTCAACATTTGCACAGTAGCTGAGGATTATTTCTTGAATTCTGTTTGGCACAGGAAAAAAGGGAGATTCAGTTAACTTCAGTTGCACCCTCTTGCTTAACTATTTATGTGAAAACACATTTTATGGAAGTACTTTTGCTGACAGTCAGGGCTGATCACACAAAGAAGGTTCTCAAGGCTTGTTCCAAATGCATTTCTATATCTTTCTAATGATACAATCTTTGGGGTATTCCTGGTAAAAACTGGAGTGAAGACTAGTTCTCCTGGCTGCAGGGAAATATTGCCATTTTGCAGCAACTGAGCATTTAACCCAGAGCACATGCATCATTAAGTGACTAATCTGACTTTTTATAGTTTGGCTTTTGAGGTTAATATGGATTTGCACTTCGTTTCTTTTCCAGACTTGCAGACAATTTGTGTAGAGTATTTCCCCTCACCAGTAGCACAGCACAAAACAACTGCCAGTATTGTAGGACCATCTGTTAAAGTTCTGCACGTGTCAGCAACACAGGGGTGCCAAACGAGCCAAGTAAGCTCTGGATAGCTTGAAGTTGAAGGATCTAATATACCTCTTTGGCACCATGGTGTCAACTCAACAGTTGTTAGTGGAACTTGAATGACATAAAATTACTATGAGAGAAGTACCAGCCCCAAAAGATCTTTTCTGTGTGAATTAACTACCATCATTACATACCATTTGGGGCAGGGAGGCTCAGTTTTTGCTGGTTTGGGACATGCTGGGGTTTTTAGTTACCAGCTGTCAAGGAATATAAGCGACGCTGGTAACATGTTAAGAATTTCCTTTATGTTTAGCAGATAGTAGTCAGACTGCAGCAGTTCAGAAAAACTGAACATATCAATCAATTAAAGACAACTAAAGCTTTTGCCTTAATGCTGTTCAGTAGTGCCTCTCTAAGGTCTAAAGCCGTGCAGCAGGAGTCACCCCAAAGAGTATTTCAGGAATATATCCAGAAGTGCTGATAAAATGATAGAAAAGAGGCAGTTTCCCTTTGAGGCACTGGCAAGTCATGAGAATACTTACCCAGGATGTGGGAAAGACATGCTTACTGTCCCTCCCTGTCACTAGGAGCATGAATGCTCTAGTTCAGTTCTGTGGCTATAGCTCTGGCTACTGAATTCTAGGTTTTTCTGAACAGAAGTATTTAAAATCTTTTCTGCTGAAGCACTTTCATTATTTTTTATGGAATATACTTTGTGCTAGAATGATGGAGAACATGACTGCAAATACTTGTGGCCATAACATTCACCTTTGAAAGAGAACTATGTTCAAGCCCTTAATCTAATGAATATGTCTTTGTAGCTACTGGATTACAGTCCTGCTCACCCTTGCTGGCTTCCTTTGCCAGACCTGATTAATGTATGTTCCATACAGGATGAATCAGAAGCAGCAATTACAACATCTTTCTTCTTTCCTCTCCACTCATCGTCTCGACCCTTGTCTTCCTGGGATGCTCTTTAACTTCAGGGCAATTTATGTGGAGGTGGAAGGTGTGAGTTCAGTTTCCTTAGGACAGCTGTTAGTCATGCATAGGTCTTTGGTAACATTGATGGCGTTAGCAGTTGAGCCTCCGAGAGATTTTGCTTATGAGGAACTCTTGTTAGTTGACACAAGGATAGTGGAAATGGGAATGACATGTCTCTGTCACTGAAATATTTTTTTAAAAATAGATAACAGGCCACTAAAGCATTTTGATATGTTAATCTTTGAGACAAGCATGTTTAAGCTGGATGGTCACATACAGATGTGATACTTGTGATGCTGACATGGGGTTTTTTTATATCCTATAGGATTTGGATATAGATATGGTTACTATAACACTAATTACATGCAAACAAGTTGTGTTTTTTTATTTAAGCTACTGCAATGTATATAACAATTTTTAGGTTTAAATTAATACATGTATGCTATTGCCTGGTATATAGAGCTGTGCATTAGGAGGACTAGGAATGGCTCTTTGGAGTTCTCTCTACTCATCTTGTTCTGCCAGCCCAAGAAGTTCTAAGTATAAGAGGGGATAACAAACTGTTAGCAAAGTTCTTTAATTCTAGTACTGAGCAAAGTTAACCTTGTGAGGTAATGTCATTATGAGTAAACTTGTGGCTTCTTGCAATAGTTTTCTTACAACTGTTAAAAGAGCTGGTTATGTCCTTCTACCCACATCGGATCTGTGAATGTTCAGGGTATTCCCCCCAGCTTGGAACAGGGCAGCCAAATGACAGAGAGAACACATCTAAGGTAAATCCTTTTCACTCTATTCCCTGTTTCCACACTCAAGTCAATAGCTTCTGTGGCTGTTATTCTCTGTCTCCTTTTGCATAGGAAGCCTAGATCTCTATCTGATCCAGAGATCCAGATTTTGCTGTTCAGATGCCTAAAATTTAGGAAGTACAGCAGTGAACCTAATTTCCTTTTGTGGATTTATCTGATAGTAGCCCATAAATTGAATTTTAAGATACTACCCACAGTCCTAGAACATTTGCATCCCTGTGCATTTCCTGTAACTTACATTATCTGCTATCAAACGAGGCAGACTGGTCACATCTTTACAAGACTCTTAGAAAATTAATATGAAGATGTTGCTTCTCAGAAAGCAAGCCAGTGTTCAGTATTCAGAGGTGAGTCATCAGCCATCTGCCACCGTTGTACCTACTCAGTCGATCACGTATGAGATGCGGAGCAGATGTCACACAATCATGCAGTTCTGAAAACAGCACAAGATATTCCAGGAAAACAGATTCGCCAGTACTGAGAGTCTTCCGTGTGTGGCCACATTTAACAACATCAAAGTTAAAAGTCACTGAGAAAAGAACCCACTGAAATTATTAAGAAAGACACTATGAGAAAAGCTCTTACTAATATGTTAGCTGTTACTAACATTTTCCTGTAAGTACTTTTGTGGTAAAGAAGCAAAACTTAGTGAGGAGTTCAGAGTACACAAATAATGGATCAGATCCCCAGCTGATACTAAGAGGTGTAAATTCATTAGCTTCAGTGAACCTGTGGCCATTTACAGCTGCTAAGGATCTCAGTCTTTGTGGAGTATTTTGCAATAAATTTTGTTCTGAGTCTGTACTGTGAATTAAAGAAGAGGTGCCACTATAAATAATGAAAAAGAAAAGGAC